CAGACGGACCGAAGTACACTGCTGAGGGGAGCAGCAGGCGAGATAGGAGAGTTCTGGGCCGCCATGTGGGTTTCTCCCTGGTGGGCCGTGAATCGAACTTGTGCTGCAGTGGCTGCGAATTGCCTCATAGGTTGCGTCTTAACCCCTGTGCCCTGATTTTGTATTTTGATTCTCAAAGCACTAACTTGGAGGAGCCTCCCAAGCTTTTGGTCCACCCCACCAGGGGAGGATCCTCTCTACAGACTTCCCAACTGGGCTGATCCAGCCTTGCTTTCATGCACCTCACTGTCTACCTGTAGAAGTAGCCCCTTCTGCTGTAGGACTGTCTTTCTCACTCTGAGTTGAGACCAGTCTTCTGTGACATCCCCAGAGTGTCCTTTGGGCCCCAAGGCAGTAGTCCTCCAACCCCTATTAATCTGGGAGGACAGTTTCTCTGTACCTGCTCTGCCCTGGGTCTAGCACTACCTGGTCAGGGGCTTTAATGCTGAAGCAATTCCTGAGAAATAGCACAAATTTCTAAAGAGATGATTGGTCACCTTCCATATTCTAGACTTTATGCCTCTAGTAATGCAGCCAGACATCAAATCTATCTTTGTGCTGGTATTAGCCCACGTGTTCCTATCACCTCAAACCTCAAGTCTTTAAACATGTTAATCCAAGAGCAAGATCTTGCATTTCTTTGGCAATTTCCATCTTGTAAATACTAGCAATTCATAGTTGTACAATACTTTAAAGTTTACACATAGCCCTTCATATGTAGTGTCTCCTTTTAGGCTTAAGACAGTTTGGTGGACCCCATGGAAAAGACTGGGAAGCCTGGTCATGGCAGGGGTCCCAGCAACAGCTGCTGAGATAACCATGAGCATTAGGTTGGCTGGACCCTGGCTCTGAGGAGAGATGCATACAAGACCATGGGGTCCCAGACAAGGGAAACTGTCCACAGTCAAGAAGGGCCTGCTCAAGCCTGCCTCAGAGGCTGCTCAGCCTGGAGCAGTGTGATCGGGAGACTGCAGGAGGAGATGAGAATGAGAGCGAGTGTTCCTGGCATGGACAGAGTCCTTCCTGAAGCAGAGGGTGGGCCAGGGGCTTTTAAAGACCCTCTACCAGCATTTGGGTTCCCTCAAATGAGTGTTACCAGCTCTCCCTCCCTCCTCTTATTGGCAGAGGAGGAAACAAGAGTTCAGCGAGAACTAGAGCCAAGGTCCCCACATGGATTCCCTTCACCAAACCTGAGCTAGGCTGGCTCTGGTCTGTCCTGAGCTCCCTTTGGTGCATCGAGAAGAAAACCTGCCCTTGCCCTCTTGAGGGTCCCAGCTGAGTGAGGAGATGGGCTTTCCCATTTTGTGCGCAGTCATTTACAAGAGCATCCCAGGGAGACTGATGGATGAAACACGGGCATTGACGACAATCCTGTGGGCACCGCTCTAGAGCATAACTGTGACCCCAAGTCACACTCCTGTCTCTGGGCCTATGACGGGTTGTTTAGAAGCTCGGTCTGGCTGCGGATCAGAAAGCAGGGGCCAGGCTCTCGGATGGGTCCAAGCTAAACCTTCACTCAAGGGTCCATTGTGGTTGTTGGGCCTGGCCCTGGGCTCCGCCAGCCTTTCCGGCTCCTGGAAAATGTTTCCCGTCTGGCAGCTCCTGGGCAGCCTGTCCTTGGCCAAGGCGCAGACCAGCCCCACACCCAGTCCTCTCATGCCCAGTGGGGTGCTGGACTCCAGCAGCTCAGAGTTCTTGGCGGGTTCAGCCCCCATTTCTCTCCCAGGCTTGGTGGGTGGGTTGGGAGGACACATACCAGAGACGTGCTCTCAGACCAGATCCAAGGCCAGAACCCAGAACTCTGGACATTTCTGCAGCTCTCACTACTAATAGGAGGCAATAGTGTTTAAGCTTAGAGAAGGAAGGGGCAGTCCCATCATCTAGGACATTGTGGCAGAGTCTGGCTGATGTGACTGGTGCTTCAGCAACTGCTTGCCCTCCCTATACCTCTTAGATCTGGGCCCTGCTGTTCAGCTGTGTGAACTTGTGAGACTACTGTCTTCTTGCGTGCGTGTGCAGGGGACACTGTCCATCTACCCTAACACCCTGAGCTTTTAAATCTGGTATGGATGCACTGGATGGCATGAGGATAAGAAACTGGAGAATTTGAGGACTTGAGCACATCAGACCATCTCTGTGCCAGTTTGCAGCAGAATCAGTTTCTGAGACCAGGAGTTCCCTTGCCTGAGCTGAGAGCGCCACCTGCGGCCCAATACATGCAACATGCATCCCACGGGGGAGGTGGGTCTCCACCATGATGAAGAAGGGAGCCCCAAACATGAGAGGAAGAGGCCCTCTGGGAGCGACCATTCGGGATGGGGGCTGCTTCAGCAGAAAGTCCAGGCCAGAGGAGCACCTCTAAGCACCACACAGAGAAGAGTTATCACCATCACAATTCTCCTGGACTATCCTCTAGACCAGGTCCTGGGGGCCCCTTAAGGAGAATATTCTGATCTAACGGAGAGGGAGTGGGGTGCAGGTAGGAGCCTAGGGCCAGACACCTGGAACTGGGTCTTAGAGAATAACAGTAATTGGTCTTGTGAATGAAGGGCATTTCAGGTTCAGGGAACAGCCTGTGCAAAGGCATGGTGGAGAGTTTGTGTGTGAGCTTGATAGTGACAAGAGAAGGAAGAGGAAGCCGGAAGTCACATATGAGGTCAGAAGGATCACAGCCCTGGGCACCTGTGGCCTACACAATGACACAGACATACGCAGCTTCTCTTCTATTCCCTGATGCCAAGCCCACCTCCTGCTTTGACCCCATGCCTCCAACTCCAGTCACACCCGCTCTGGGTCAGGTTATCTAGGAGAGGTCCTGATTCTTGGAAACCTTCCCTTCTATCCAGGCCAGGAGCTGGGTCAAGCTGCTCACAGGCTTATCCTGGGGGATGTAATCCTGTGAGTTTCCTGGCCTCCAGGGAACCTGGGCAGAGCTCTTAGACCAGAAAGAGGATCTCCAAGCAGTCACTTAACTCTGGTCTCAGGTTCCTCAGCTATAAATGGGCACAAAAATAATGCTTCCCTCACGGGAATGTGGTGAGGATTGAATGAGAAAATGCATGTAAAGCCACTCATTAGCACCTTGCAGACTTGGGTTGATGCCAAATAAAGAAATTTCCCTCCAGTGCCCAGCCCTCTGGGACATGCTGCCTTCCAGCAGAGGAAGCACGAGGGTTCCAAATCGTGGCTTTGTCCAGTTTGCCCACCTCTAGCCTTGGACTCCACCTTCTCAGAGCCCACAAAGGCCCTGTCTGTGATAGTAGGGTGATTTGCTGTATTTCTCTCTATGTTTTTTTTTTTTCAATGTTCAAATACAAAGAGGGCAGAAAAAAAGTGTATAAAGAAAATCTATATGCATCCTCAGACAATAATTATTAATTGCTTCATTCACTTTATTTCCATAACTGCTTTCCCTAGACGCCATAACACTAAATGACATCCAATACCTGGTAATGCAGCTCCTAATGTTTTTTTTTAAAGATTTATTTATTTATGCATACAAGAACTGGGGTACAGGCCAGAAATACAGGGGGTGAGAGGATTCACCAGAGACAGAGTGGGGAACAGAACAGGCATATTAACTGAAATACACTGCTGAGGGGAACAGTGGGTGAGACAGCAGAGGTCTGCTGTGCCATGTGGGTAGCTCCCTGGCCAGGGATCGAACTCGTGCTGCAGTGGCTGCAGACAACCTCATAGGTTGTGTTCTAAGCCCTGTGTCACCAGGGAGGCCCTGCAGCTCCTAATGTTAAGAACATCTTCCTATATAATTATAATCGCAATCTTTTTTTAAGATTTATTTATTTATGCATACAAGAACTGGGGTACAGGCCAGAGGTGTGGGGGTGGTGAGAGGATTCACCAGAGAGAGTCAGGAGCAGAACAGGTGGACTGACTGAAATACACTGCTGAGGGGAGCAGTGGGCAAGGCAGGAGAGGTCTGCTGTGCCATATGGGTTAGCTCCTAGGCTGGACTGGGGATCGAACTCGCGCTGTAGTGGTTGGTGTTAGCTTGATAGTGCTGAGACTTTCACCCCTTTGTCACCAGGGAGGCCCAGACCAAGAAGTTTAAATAAATAAATAAACAAACAAACAAACAAATAAATAAATCTTTAAAAAAATAAATAAATTCTTCTGCTTCAAACTTTAAAACTTCTGGAAACTGAATACTTTGTGTGTTTGGTTTTGTTTTTTTGTTTTGTTTTGTTTTTTTTGCATTTCCATTTTCTGTTGTTGATGCAAAATAATTTTATTTTTATTTTTTACAATTTTTTAAAATATATATCCTTTACATCATTGTGAATTCCCAGTAAAATTCCCACCACCAGTTCACCCGCGAGCCATCACCATGGTCTCTTGTGCTCTTCTCTCCCCTGTTTTTATCCCTTTTCTTTTTCTTTTTTCTATTTTTTTTTTAAAGATTTTATTTATTTATGCATATAAGAGCTGGGTGTAGGCCAGAGGTGCAGTGGTGGGAGTGGTCATGAGAGGATTCATCAGCGACAGAGTGGGGAGCAGAACAGGCAGATCTACTGAAATACACTGCTGAGGGGAGTAGCGGGTGAGACGGGAGAGGTCTGCTGCCATGTGGGTCAGCGCCCTGGCTGAGATGGAACTCAGGCTGCAGTGGCTGCTTTTAGCTTCATAGTGCTGATGTAACAGGGTGGTCCCCAGGAAAGGGGGAAGTTCCCTGCCCCACCCAAGGGAGGGTGGACCCTCTCCCTGTCCTATAACACTGAGACAACCCCTTGCACCACCAGGGATGCCTGTTTTGATTCCTTTTCTTCCCCTTCCCTCACAGAATATCTCTGAGGACACTGAACCCAATAAACTCTGAGTACACATTTTTCTCAAGTACACACGGATCATACTCCAGGACTGATCACATATTGGGTCAGAAGACAAATCTTAACAGATACATTAAGATCAAAATCATGCCAACAAACTCATGATCACAAAGATTATGTTTCTTTATTTTCTGTTCCCTCCTTCCAATTTTTGATTTACATTGTATGTCTGGTTTTATAGCTTGCCTGTTCCCCAAAAAACTTCTTTGAAAATTTCAAATCTACGAAAAAGTTGAAAGAGTAGTATCAACTTCCCCTTTGCCTACAGTGTATCAATAGCTAACATTTTGCCACAACTGTTTTATCTCCCTGAATACACAGCCCTCTTCCCCCTCACCCCCAGAAAATTCGACAATAAGTTGCACAGTTTTGTAATGTTGACATTTTCAAAGTCCAGGCAAGCTGTTTTGAAAACATCCTTTAAAAAGCAATCACAGCAGTGCAGGCCATTTACTGTTGTAACAAAGACCAAGCTTAATGATTGTGGAGAATTTGGAAAAAAACACTATAAAGAAGAAAATAAAACTGCCCCCCCACCACCACCACCACATTCTAACCCCAAGGCTCCAGGGGAGGAACACTTGCCCGATACAGGGCTCAGATGCAAATCTCTTATTTTCACTGCAGCCCGCAGTCCTGGGGCCACTTTCTACAGAAGAGCCCTGGACTGGGAAGACCAGAGCTGTGACCTTGAGCCAATACAAGTAGATAAGGTGGCTGGGAGGCCTCCCTCTTAGGAGACTATTTGTATCTTTACTGTGAGAATTTCTGTTGTGAAAGGACTTGGTGCGGCTTCCTTTAATACCCTACCCAGAGTCTGGCCTCTCTTTTATTCCTTGGCCCTCCCTGGGAACTCAGGATCCCAGTTGCTTTTGCTTGGAATGTCACACTGCTCCTGTACCAAATTCCTAAACTTCAAGGTGCAGGTAAGGGTCCCACTACTTCAAAACACCTCCCACGTCACCCTAGGCTACAAATCAACCTTGTTTCTCCCTCTTTCTTTGCGGCAAATCATTTGTCTATTGTGCCAGCCCTGTGCTTAGAGGCCTCTTCATACCCCTATCTCATTCATGTGCATGACAATGCTCAAAGGAGATTATCACAATCATTTGACAGACAAGGAAATGCATCTCAGGACAAAGGGCAAGATGCCACTCCGAATTAAGGCAGAACCAGACTTTCTCAGGCCACTGTCTCTGCCCACAGAGACATTAGAGCTTCTGTCTGCCACCCCCAATGGGTTCTCGCAGAGATCAGGTTTGTGTGGGAGTTATCTGGACTCTGCACCCTGCCCTTCCTCTGCATGACTCTAAATTTGCCTCTTGCTTCAGAGTTCAGCCAGCAGCAGGGTTGCCTCTTCCATAGAGACTTCCCAGACTCCCAACACACCCTGGATCGATGACTTAACTCTTCTGACTCTCCCACCCCTACTCAAACACCCTCCTCTAAGTGACCACCTTGGTCCTGCACCCTGGTGCTTAATCAACTTAATTCAATACATTTTTAAAAGATTTATTTATTTATGCATACAAGAACTGGGATGTAAGCCAGAGGTGCAAGGGTGGGGGTGCGGTGAGGAGGGGGTGAGAGGATTCACCAGAAAGAGTGGCAAGCAGAACAGATGGATCTATTGAAATACACTGCTAAAGGGAGCAGCAGGCAAGACAGGAGAAGCCTGCTGTGCCATGTGGGTCACCTCCCTGGCTGGTCAGGGACTAACTTATACTGCAGTGGCTGGTGACATCTTGATAGCTCTGTTTCTAACCCCTGTGCCACCAGCAAGGCCCACAATATATTTTTAATGTTTTATTTTAATGGCATGCTCTTCCTATGCCATCAATTGTTTACCTTCTTTTATAATATCACTTTTTCTCCTATGAATGCATGTTCATATTATCAAAAATCTAGGAAAGAATAAAAATTAACCCAAATTGGGGTCTCCCTGGTGGCATAGGGGTTAAAGAAACAGCGCTATCAAGCTATCACAAGCCACTACAGCCTCAGTTCGATACCCGGCCAGGGAGATAACCCACTATGGTGTAGAAGACCTCTCCTGTCCTGCCCTCTGTTCCCCTCAGCAGTGTATCTCAGTAGGTCCTGCTCCCCACTCTGTCTCTGATGAATCCTCTCACATACCCCCAACACCTCTGGCCTACACCCCAGTTCTTGTATCCATAAATAACAAAAAAAAACAACCCTTTTTAAAAATTAACCCAAATTGCTTTTAGATAACCACATTAACATTTGGTAAATTATTTTTAAGTCTGGTTTCATTAGCCACATGTATTTTATAGAGCTGAGATCATACTACATTAACAGTTCTAAAGTTTGTTTTTTAAAAATCTAGCTTATGCTAAGAACATTTCCCAGGTCATTAAAAATTTTGTAGGCCACACCCACTAAGAACGCTAGAATAAAAAACACAACCGATAACAAATGTGGCAAGAATGTGGAAAATCTGTACACTGCTGGTGGAAGTGAAAAATGGTGCAGCCTCTTTGGAAAACAGTTTAGCATTTCCTCAAATAGAGTTATCATATGACCCAGTAATTTCACTCCTTGGTGTAGTCTAAAGAGAAATGAAAACATATATCCACATAAAAATGTCTACATGAATGTTCTTAGCAACATTATTCATAATAGTCAAATAACGGAAACAGCTGAAATGTGCAGCAACTAATGAATGGATAAATAAAATGTAGCATATCTGCAGAATGGATTATTTTTCAGCCATAAAAAGAAATGAAGTACAGACTCAGCTACAACATGCATGAACCTTGAAAATATTATACTAAGTGAAAATGACAGACACAGAAGATCACATATTATGTGATTTCATTTTTGTTAAATGTCCAGAACAAGCAAATCCATAGAGACGGAAAGGAAATTTGTGGGTTGGGTTGGGGGTAGAGGGAGATTTGGGATTCAATGAGGAGTGACTGCTAATGAGTGTGGGGTTTTGGCTGAGTGGGTGGGTGAAAATGTTCTAAAATTGATTATGGAGAAGTTTGCAAAAATATTAAAAATCATTGAGTTGTACACTTTAAGTAGTTAAATTGCATGTTATTGAATCATATACCAACTGCATGTTAAATTGCATGTTATTGAATCATATACCAATAAGGCTGTTATAATTAAAAACGAAAAAAACCTTTATGGAAGCATTTTTAATGTCCCTAGACATTATCCCTTTGCACAGCTGCCTCATAATTTATTTATATTTCTATTGTTGGACTTTTATGTTTTCTATTAATTCTTTTGTTTCAAAACATTTCAATCACAAACAAAAATGAGTTGAATGGTATAATGAACCCCTGCACCCATCACCCACTTGAACAATCATCAACGCAACAGACTATGCTTTGATGAAGATTTTTGTGCATAAATCTCTGTCCACATTCCACAGTTTCCTTCCATTTATACTGAATTCATATCAGTTTAAGCCATTTCCTCAAATCCTCTAAGTGTCCTCCCAGCACACCCAAGGATGTGATGGATTAGATCTCACCCTTGGAAAACTTCTTGGAAAGCTTCCAGTCTGGGGGGAGGTAAAAATTGGATTGGAATGACTAGTCAGGACAGGGGCTATGTCATTGCAGCCACCCCTATTACACAGGAAAAGGCATCCTCACCCTGGAATCAGCCAACCCTGGAAGCCTGCTCCCCAAGCCTCTGTCCAGCCCTGCCTTTTCCCCCTGGAGCCACATGGAGGCGCCAGAGTCAGAGTCAACAGACTCCTCTTGAAGCTCAGCAGCTTTCATGTGGGTGGGTGGTTAGGGTGGGCTCTGTGTCTTTTTCTCCTGATGACCTGGCCTGGTGATGGCCCTCTCTTGGCCTTAGGATCTTCACTTAGAAATAAGAAGGTGGATGCTGTGAGCAATCTGGACACATCAGTGCTGTTACCTGGTCTCCTACCTTCAGCCAGCTCTCATCAGCAGTATGCCGTGGGCCCCAATCCATGGCACTTGCTTCTGGATGGTTCAGGGAATCCATCTGAGTGTCCCCTCCAATTTGGCTCCCAGGAGAGACTAATGCCCGCAAAGCAACTTCTCACATTTTTAGAGGCCTGCAAAATCAGCTTATTACTGTAGGACTCAGGCAGCAAAGTTACTGGCACCACACTGTTGGCAGGTAGGAGGTTTGCCTTTTTTTTTGTTTTTTAAGATTTATTTATTTATGCATACTAGAACTGAGGTACAGGTCAGAGGTGTGGGGGGGTGAGAGGATCCCTCAGAGACAGAGCAGGGAACAGAAAAGGCAAATAGGCTGAAATGCACTGCTGAGGGGAGCAGCAGGGGAGTCAGGAGAGATCTACTGCATCATGTGGGTAGCTCCCTGGCCAGGGATCGAACTCTTTTTTCAGTGGCTGCAGATAGCTTCATAGGTTGCGTCTTAACCCCTGCACCATGAGGAAGGCCCAGGTTTGCCTTCTGATGCCTCCTGGTTGCCCACTCTCATAGCTATCCAGATGTGGAGAGTGTCAAGGACACCCTAGCTCCAGAGCAAGATTAGGGTTCCAGATGGAGGAAGAAAAAGTGAATCACCAGGAATTTCCAAAGTCCTGGCCTGGGCTCTCTCTGGTGGTGTAAGAGGTTAAGACGTGGCACTATGAAGCTATCAGTAGCCACTGTAACACAAGTTCAATTCCTGGCCAGGGAGTTGACCTACATGGTGCAGCAGACCTCTCCTGACTCACCTGCTGCTCCCCTCAGCAGTGTTCTGCTCCCCTCTGCCTGTTCTTCTCTCCACTCTGTCTTCGGTGAATCCTCTCACTCCCCACACACTGGCCTGTACCCCCCAGCTCTTATATGCATAAATAAATAAATCTTAAAAAACCAAAACAAAGTCAGGGCCTAAGTGATGTCTGGACTAGCCCAGAGGAGATTTGGCTCCCAGTCGACATAGCCTATAGAGGACCATGAGAGCTGATGTGTCTGGCATAGCTGAAGGCTGAGTCAAGGGAGACGGTGTTTACTTTCCTGAGAGGTTTCTCCTGAATAAGAGAGCGGTCGCCAGCTTGCAGCCTCTCCTGTCTCTGCCAAGACAAGGGCCAGAGGACCAGGGTCTGAGATCTGTCTGGATGTCTCTCTCCCTGGGATGCTCTCTCAGCTGTGACCCCAACACCATCTTACTGACCTTGCCCCTTCTTGTCCCTGGCCCTTCGTAGGATACTTCCTCTTAACCCAGTGAGCTGGCTGCCATCAGCCAGGTCATAAACCACTTCCCAGATGGCCAAACAGTCACTCACAAAGGCCAGCTTACACCTACTATGTGCTAAGCAGCCCCTGGGAGGGCCTCTTGGTACAGTTATCACACTTCTTTATCACAGAGCAGCTCATGAGGTAACTATCCTCATACTCATTTCCCAGAGCAGGAAGTGAAAGCTTGGCAGGCAGCGTGAGGACTCAAGCCCAGGCTGGCCTGATTCATGCTTGTGTCGCTTCCCTTCTCCCTACCTGCTTTCTGCGCACGACTCTACTCAGCCCGCTCAACTTTGCTGCTGCTCTACTCCGGCCCCGCCCATGGCCACCCACAGCCATGTTCCCAAGTCCACTTGCACTAAACTGGGCACAATGACAGGCATGTGGGCACACGGATAGACCAGTCCTGACTGCCACTTATCAGCCATGTTGCTCTGATCAAGTCACTTAACCTCTGTGAGCCCCAATTTCCTCAGCCCTTTGAATTTGTTATGAGAATTGAGTAAGATCTTATGTGTAATGCTGTTAGTACCGTGTCTGGGTCATTGTGCTTAATAGAAGTTAGCTACTTACTGAAAAATTCTTAGATACTTTCATTAATATTGTACACGTGCATCTCTGTGCCCTCTCTCCATTTGTAACAAGCCACATGCAGTATGCACAGGGGCAAAAGGATTGCCCTGCACACCTCGACCCATGCAGGGACCCACAGTAGAGCAACCATGAGAGCTGAAGTGCCTGGCATAGCTGAGGGCTGAGTCAAGGGATGAAACAGTTAGCCACCTACTGAATCACGTGCCTGTACCAGGCTCTCTGGGTTGGGGTTGGGGATGCCTGTGGAGCAGAAGATGGGGAATCTGGCCTTGGAGTCCACCCAGACTGGCTGAGAAGATTCAGAATCAAAATGTGGTCTGCAGACAAGTCTGGAAACTTGCTAGAATCTTGAAGAATCTCACTCACACCCCACTGCAGACCTTAAATGGGAATCTGCATTTTAATAAGATCCTGAGAGAATCAAGCAGAGGGGAGGGTGGGTGGGGGCCATTTTGGAGCCTATCTCCAACCTACTCCCACAGCAGCTTGACATACTTCCTAGTTGCTCCTCCTCTGTCCTTGGGAGTTGGTGCTAAGGTGTGAGGTTATTTTTTTTTTTTTAATTTATTATTTTTTTAATCTAAGCCATTGCAAACGCCCCATTCTGACCCAATTCTTCCCCTCCCGCCCCCCACCCCCTAAGGTGTGAGGTTATCCAACTCAAACTTGGGAGAACAGACTGCTTCCCTGAAGAACATAAATAGCAAGGTGCCTCCCTAGCCCCTCCCAGGGCTCTGAAGGCTTAGAGGCTGAGAGCTACATCAAGGCTTAAGTATCTGGCAGAGGGTGCCTACACTTTGATCCCCCTCTTAAAATGTGTCCTCACTCCTCTGTGACTCTCCCCAGCCAGCATCATGGCAGGGTCACTGCCCAGAACTCTGGTGACCTCTCCTGCCTTGAGTGGGGTGTAGGCTCAGTCCCTTGGGCCTGTGGGAGCCAGAGGCTGGGCCTGTGCCCTCGCCTTATTCTTGTTGGGGCTAATTTTAGTACTGCCTTGACAACTGCCTTAGCTCACCCTGGGTCAGTTCCCAGCTACTCAGCATTGGGGTCGGCTGAGGTCAGTTGGGGAGTGGGCCAGGCCAGCTCCAGTTTTGGCTGCAATAGGAGAAACTAAAATCCTTTCCTCCATGACTACCCTCCCCAATGTCTGAGAGTCCCACCTCAGGGCTGATGAGGTGGAAGGGATAGAAACTGACCGTGCTTTCAGCCTGGAACACTGTCTGTAGACAGGCAAAGAGAGTCATGTGGAAACAAGGAATTACAGAGATCAGAGGGCAGGGCCTTAAAGACCTTCCTCAGCACCTGACCTATGGAAGGAAAAGGGCAGAACAGCCAAGTTCATGGCCCAGAGTCAATAGCAAATGATGGCAGTTGGTGCTGGAGCCTGGGCCTCCTGGTGCGCAGTTAGGTTCTATGCCCAGCACCACAGGAGTGCGTGAAAATGCAGAGGGAAACAGCATCTGATGTAGCCTGTGAAGGTCAAGCCCAGGCATTGCTGCCATTCTGCCTGGAGAGTACAGAAAGGGTACCCTTCTCAGGTCCTGCCTGGTGCCAGCCCAACACATGCTTCTGGAAGCCACTTGCTGTGCCCAGCTGTCAGAGATTCAGGAGCTGGTGGCACCTGGGATGTTTGGTAGAAGTGTTACAGGACAGGGAGAGGGGCACCCCAGAACCCCAAAACTGCCTGTTCCAAATAGGTTCTGCCATCTGCTGCATCAAGACAAAACATACCCTAGTGTGTAAGACCTTAAATGTAAAGGAACTTTAATACAATTAGTTGCAACAAAGACAAGTCAAAGAATATAGCTTACAAATCAAGCATTGAAGTTATCCATCCCCTCGTGGGTAAATGCCCAGCCAATCAGGGTTGGCGCAAAGCAGGGCCATTGAGCCTGAAGGCCTGCCGCAGAAAGTGGGTTTTAGCCTCTGAGGACAAAGGAATGGAGTCTGTGCTGTCACCTACATTCTGGCCCTTAGTTTCTTCCTTGATGAAATGAATGTGAGTACGAGTTCACAGCTTGATTGGGAGGGACAAAGGAAATAAATGGGAGGCTGGAAAGAATGTGCAGTGCCCACAGGGCTGCCTACTGACTGACTGGGCACCCTGGCTCCCTCCTATTTGGAATCTGGAGCCAGAGCCACTCCACAGTCTTCACCCCCACTGCCTCTATCTCCACCTTCTCCCCTACCCAGTGAACTTGCAGGAAGAAAGAGGAACAAGTCTTTTTATTTTATTTTATTTTTTATTTATTTATGCATATAAGAGCTGGGGTGTTGGCCAGAGGCGCAGGGAAAAGAGGATTCACCAGAGACAGAGTGGGGAGCAGAACAGGCAGATCTACTGAAATACACTGCTAAGGGGAGCAGCGGGCGAAGCAGGAGAGGTCTGCTCCCTGTCTGGGGATTGAACTCATGCTATGGTGGCTGGGGATAGCTTCATAGGGCTCAGGGGGCCCCAGAAAGAGGAATAAGTCTTGAAGCTGACCTGGGCAAAAGGGAGGAGAAAGGCAACAAGGGGTTACAGGGAAAGATGTGGTTCTCCTCCCTTCCCCCAACTACACACCCTGTCCCTTCTGTTCCCTCTGTCCCAGTCTCCCATCAAGCCCTTCTCACTGTTCTCTCCTTCCAACCTTCCTCCACCTCCCAGTTCCCTCTTCCTTCTGCCTCTTCTGAGCTCCCTCATCCTGGGGCCCTTTGCCTTGCCCTTGTGTTTCCCTGCTTTGGGTGGAGGCTTCGAGTAGAAAGTTGTGGAAGTTTCACAAGTAGGGAATCCAGAGATGGGGATATGAAGATCCACTGATCACTACAAAGAGAACTACCAGTCCCTGCAGATTAACCCTACCAGGCCTTTGGCATGATAGATTCCACAGTAGATGAAATTCCACAAAGGAATAAATTCCCACAAAGAGCGCTATATAAGGATACCCCTTGTCTTATATAAGGTAAGAAGACAGCTTCTTACCCTTTAAGAACTGCCCATCTGTGTGCAGATCACACATATGTAGTGCTCTTTGGGGCAATTCGTTCCTTTGTGGAATTTTATCTACTGTGGAATCTATCACTTTTACGATCTGGCAGGGTTAATCTGTAAGGGCTGGTGGTTCTCTTTGAAGTGACCGACAATTCTCCATATCCCCACCTCTATTTCTTTCCCTGTGGATCTTCCATAGCTGATTCAACGACTTGTTAATCTTTTCTATTCCCACCTCTGGGTTCTGGCCTTGTGAAACTCCCACCCCCAATTTTCTACTCTAAGCTTCCATCAGTTTCATGCCTGCAAGCAGGAGTCGGGGGTGAGAAAGCACGCAGGGTTGAAGCTCAATAAATATTTAACGGCCCACCTCAAAACTATTTTGAAACAAGACTGTGTGCATGAATCAATAATAAATGTTGACTGACTAAGAATACACCTAAGAATATGCACCCTGAGAAAAGCCTTGTTTATCCATCTTCCCTGGATAACGAGTTGATTTCCACTGTGGACTCTCTGGATGGTTGAAGGTAAAGGAATCTCAGAATTAGGGAGGAGGGAGCCGCTCCAAGGGAGGTAATGCTTTGCGCCAAGGCTGGGAGCTGGAGAATGCTCAGCAGCATATGGAACAACCCTGAACTGAGCTGGTGAGGGGCCTGTCTAAGGCTCAACTTTATCCTCAGGACAACAGGGAGCCAAGGAAGAGTTTTGAGCAGGAGAGTGAGACAGTTAGATTTGCTGTCAGATGGATACTTTTCTGTTGCTGCATGGAGCATGGATTAAAGCAGAGAGCATGGTGTCAAGGAGCCCTGTGCTTTCAAGGTTCATGTGAGAGGAGATGAAGTATGGACATAGGTGCGGCTGTTGAATGTGAGAGGTAGACTATTCCCAGGTTTCACAGAGGACGGCCAGAACTTAGTAAAGAAATAGATGAAGGAAGGGAGGGAGTGAGATGAGGCTCCATGATTCTGGTGTTCCTGGTTCAGGGGACCAGCTGGCTGGGGGTGACCCTGCTGAGGTTGAGAGTGGGGCAGGTCAAGGGAAAATGCAGAGCTCAGCTTTGGACACACCAGGGAGATCTATGGCTAGAGATGGAGATGCCTAGAATGGTCAGAGGACTGAGACCAAGCAAGTCTGGACAAATGCTCTCTAACTAACATTCTCTGGATGACTTTGAAGCGTCCCAAGTGTCCCCATGACAGTCCTTTTGGTCCTGTGGTGCCCAAGACAGACAGAACCAGGACTCAAGCCCCAGGGAAGGACAGCGGATAGCGTCAGCAAAAATTCTGATCAAGATGGAGAAGAGGGTCTGAGGGAGGATAAGGGACACTCCCAGGAAGGGCAGGACCGGCTGGCATAGAGCCTGGGGTAGAGAGGGAACAGGAAGAAGCCAATGGAGGGCTGAGCTG